GTCGTATTTATTTTTTAACGTGCGAAATCAATGTGCAATGACCTTAATGTGCAAAGACCTTAACACTTTAGTACACGGACAAAATCTCACTATTAGTTGCTTATTAGCATGCCTATTATTAACATATTGGCTGTTTATTAGTACTTCTAAAGCACATATTCTGCATGACCATATTCTACATCCCTAATCCTACCCAATACATAAACTTAACAACTACCTTATGGTTAATATGCAGCAAATTAGTACTGTATTGAGGCAAAAGTTGTAGTTAATGGTTTGTTAATAACGAGAATTGAACCTTAAAATAAAGTGTGACCATTTCAGCTTATGAAAGAGGACCGTCACATTTTTCAGTTACCTCAATCTCAGTCTCACCACTTCAACACATTTTCCCTGTGTTTAGAAAAAACTGGACAGAGTAAAGAGAGCATAACACACGACCTTTGTGTCAATCTAGGCTCAAATCTCCCTTTCGCACAGAGAAAAGTACAAAAGCTGCTGCTTGTATCAGACTTTTCCTCTCAATCAGGATTACACACTGGCATTCCACAACATGATTGGCCTGAAATTCACTCTTGACATCACCTAAACTGACCAATCAAGTCCTGTATTATATTCCAGTGCCAAGATGACTTTCACTACATGCAGTGGAATAAACTGAGGTTTAAGTGCACTACGCCCATTATGCAATATACTGTACATATTTTTCATTTACTGTTACATTTATCACATACCATACAATTATGCAGCAGTGCTATGAATGTACTGTAACATTGGCTTTCATGTAGTATATCCAAATGTATAACACTATAAACTGAATTGAAACTGTAATGACTAAAGATGTTTGAGGTAATCGCAAAAGGTGTTAGAGTTACAGTAACCCTGCTCTTTTAATACTTCCCATTACAATATTTAGAGATAATTTCAGAAAGATACTTACAGGAGGAGCAGTTTTATGGATAAGTGTCTGCATCAGGTTTCACAAAGCAATTAAACACAAGTGGTACAATTACATTTCATTAACCAGTGTTTATTTTCTAAATAATACATATCAGGAAAAATAACATTGATGTACTTACTGTTAATAATGCTTGAGGAGTTCATGAAAATATACAGTACACTAGTCTGCTCTGTGACAAATAATATCACAATATTATATATGAAAACAAACAAATGAACAAACAACAGTGGCAAACTGCTCACATCAGAGATAATCATGAAAAATGGTACAAATCAATTGGTTATTAAAATAATATTGTGGTAAGTGCCCAAAACAGTGCATTTAGTATGTATACTGAGCAAAGTGGGTTTATTGAGACTAACCAGTGCTTACGGAGACCGTCAGTGTAAGAGGTCAAGCCTTTTAGGGTTGTGTTTGGAGATACACCAGGAAGGAACAACAGGTTTGTCATCATGTCTGGTCTTGATTTTATGTCAGTGCAGTCGCAGAAGAATTTGCAAATTTGGAGACCAAACAATGACACAAAATGGAGCAGGGCATCGAAAAGAAACACTCAGGAAAAATATATATCAAATAACATGTAACATATTTGATTTAGATATAAAGGTTTTGAAAAGAACAATAAAAACAGCACACAAGATGAATACTCAAAAGACACATAATGGGGTAGATTATCTCTCGTTGCAAAAAAACGTATGATAAATACATCTAAATTTGCTATACTACTCGGATGTAAGTAGCACACCATCAAATTTTTACATCTCAGACGTTGGGAATATGGTTTTGATCATGCAACTGTAATCTTCAGGGTATGGGATTTGAGAAAAGCATGCTGAACTGGCATAATATTGATGTGCAGTCATGTTACTGGTAGCACTGTACAAAACCTACACAGCTGTGTGGAAATACAGAAGCTGTATAAAATGAAATTACTGCAAAAATCCCATGATGTAAAGTGACCTTTAGGCTATTCTTCAAGCAAACACAGCACTAGGGAAATCTGAAAAAGGTTGAAACCTTTAAATCACAAAACTGGATGTACAAAATAGGACACTAATTTGCTGAGGTACAACTTCGTCTGCATGTACGGTAATGAGGACGTGCCTCTTTCTGCGTTGAGGATGAAAATGTAGGGACACGCGTTGGATTATAGAAGGAATCTATACATGAAGCTTTCTATACGTGGCCAAACATCAGCAGCTGAGCCACCACAAGCAGTCTTTCAGTTTCTCTCACCTATTCTACTATTTACACAAAACCACACGAGCCTCAGGGCTCCAGACCGGTTCAATGTATCTACTCAGCAATTGGAAACGGAACCTTTCTGACCAATTTCCCCAGAATATACAAACATATGGAATCTAAAACACGGGTGGAAGTCAATACGGCAAAGGAACGCTTTGTACGATTTTCCAAAGGTGACATTTCTATAACATTTTCCTTGTGCATTAGAGACTTTTATTTATTACTCATACAAATTGAGTGGCTGGGAAAACAAGTCATTTCTTACGCCAGACCTTAGCTTTCTAACCGGAACAGAGGAACCGACAGAGAAATAAACAGTAAGGGGGAAAAAAGACTTTTGATCACACCAAGTAACACTGGAGACATATAAAAATAACTTAGATGAACTGTGTAAATATAAATAAAAAAGACAACATTCTTAATAAATAATTCTATTATTTACAACATTGTATATTGCTAAGAGATTTAAATTACTAAAATACTGAACAAGTAAGCAGCAAACATTACAGGCATGAGGTACAGCAAAAAAAAAGATCCTGTTAAGTTTACAGTAGACTGTTTCACCAAACTTCATTTGATTTGATCTTGTTTTTCATGGCTTCAGAAGAAAAAAAAGTAACATTGCGTTAGAATGCATTCAGCTTTTCTTAACATTTCCAGGAACAAAAAAGGACAGAAAAGGTTGATCACTGTTTGTGTACAACACCCCAGTTAAGAACTGTATGTACGGCAATGCTCAGTAAAGGTCCATTTTCAGTGATGTCTGAAACCGGTCGTGATACTGGTTCATAAGATTGCACATATATTGGTATTTGTTCTAGGCACTCTTTCCAAGTGATAATTGAATAAAAGCAGCAGTATTTTAGCATTTACTATGCAATAATAGCATACAGTTTAATACTAGGAACAAAGACGTCTATAGAGACTAAATATGACATGATCATTACATAGAAAGAAATGACAATAGAGCTGCTTGTGTACTTGAATAAATAAGTCTACTCTGTCATCTCACTGTTGCCATGTCTCTCGCAGGTCAGATTTTTTTCCTTTGGATATCCTTTGATGGTAGCTGTGTTTTTAACATCTGTATTTGTAATTGGACTACACACATCTCACCGTTTTAACCAAAGGTAGTGAAAAGAGAAGAAAACAACAACACACAGTATAAAGTACTATTAAATGATTTCATACACTAAACGACTATTTAATTTAACAATTATGATAACCTGTTTGACCATAGCAGCTTTTTTATGGTAAACTTTTTTTCTTTTCTTTCTTTTTTGTTTTTTTCTATTTCATCGACAAAACAACTGTACAAAGACAAGTGCAGCAACTGTGGTCAAAGATAAAAATATTGATTGACAGCGATAGAGTTGAACAAAACCACCAGATATAAATATACACACAAGGCTCTTCCTACCTTAAACTCTTCACTTCTGAAAAACGTTAGACATTAATGCCATAGAAATAACCTCTTATCATTGGCTGGGCTGACACAACCTGTTGGGATATGCTGGTTTGATAAGTAGCCTCACTTCTGCTATCACAACAGTTGTTGTTTTTTTTCTATGCTACATTGCTAATGTAATGAGAAAGAAGTAATTTATACGTATTTATAAGAGCTCAGGGAGATTGTGAGGGTGGCTGATAAATGCTTCTAAGTCATTTTGATGTTTCTATACTTTCTAAAAGTGGTTTGTAAACCAATGTGGAGATATTAAACGATAATGTGTTTAATGGGGTCGTACTGACTTCCATTAACTACCACACCAATCTCCAGTTTTACACTGGTGTACATATACTGTATATATAAATCTTAACAATGCCTGTTATTACACTTACTATAAAATAACACATTTGCTATTGTGTTGAACTTCAAGCCAGTTGTTACATATACTGCTGTTATGCGCTAATGTTATTGTTAGTTATTTTTCACAAAAAATAAAAAGGGGAGCACCGATGGCATATCTGCCAATGAGATATTTTTGTAACAAAATGTCAGATGAAATGGACTGCAATGGTGGACTGTAAGCCTGAAATGATTTCATCTATTTTATACATAGTTTAACCGCTCTTTTACAAATATAATGCTACATTAGACTGAGCTAGCACAAACACCTTGATGCTAAATGCTTATTATATTCACAATGAAGCCTAAATTACATTCTTTGTGTCAATACTTTACTCACTTTTCTTATAATTTGGCATTACTTTTGAATGAACACTTGGCTCCTAATAAAATGTTATTATCCTGATTGACAAAGGCCCTTTAGCTAGTCTTCATCAACAAGCAAATGCTGACTGACTGCCCATTTTATTTGAATTATTAATTATGTCTGGTATATGCTGTGTCAGTGTGTATATAATTGTATTTCTCTTTTAGTCAAGTGGCCATTGTGTCTCTAACAAGGCTGTCAATCTATTAAAATGATCAGTCTAATATGTTTCATAGTTATAATGCATAGCATTAATGCATTCAGTTCCAAAGAATATGTGTATTTGAGTTCGGCAATTTATGTGGATGATATGTCTATATAATGACACCAGACAGAGCTAAATTTATGCAACCGTGCTCTTAATTCATTTCAAAAAGAAATTCTATAGTCAATATTCATTATTAAACTGCACTAAACAGGACAGGAAACATGAATGGAATAGCACTTAATGGATTTGATCTTTCTTAAGAAAAAGATGAATTTCGGTTTGATGAATTAAATTTCACCAAGCATGCAAACAACTTTTGTTAAACATCCCATCAGGGACTGATTATAAATAAATTATCCATTCAACATCTTTCTTCGTTTACTGATAGAAACACGGCTGCATGATCCATTCCAATTAGCTCCTAATGTTCAGCTCAGATCAGTTGTTAGAAAATCACACAGAACAGAATGAAACCATTATGTCAATTATTGTGTGAACTTTGACAGCCCTAGGGAAGGGGAGGGGAACCTGTTAGTAAATCTACATGTATAAAGCTGTTTGCATATATATGAATATTTATATATTTCATGTAAAGCTGATATAACTGCATTTTGACCAGAGGTAAAATCTATGGCAGACTTGCATTAAACTACAAACTCTCCATAGACAGAATTGGCTGCATGGCCACAGCAGCAAAACTAGCAGCAACAGCTGTGCTAACACAACTTCTTTCACAAGCTCTCTCTCCCTCTCTCTGGATGTAACTCACTGGATCAACACCTCCTCTGATGATTTTTCGGCATCAGATTTGTGCATTTCTTGCTGATATACAGGATTTGGTGATTTAGGGCCACAGCAGCTGCACTCGTACATCTTCCTATGCATTGTGAAACGTTCCCATCATCCCTCGATGTTTCATACAGGCTCTGAGGTCGGCAGCCAGATATTTTTTTGTTCGTAGTGAGTAAGAGCAGCTCAAACATTCAGAGGAGTGCAAGCCATTCGTGTGACACAAATTTGGATTTGATATTAAGGTCCATTTCTAGGTATTTCCTCTTTGATAGTTGAATTGATAAATATAAAAACGCGGAGAACACTTGATATGCGAGGACACAGTGAATGGCTAAACTGTCATCGAGACAGTCTCGGAGGTCAGGCGTTAAGGGGAATCACGAAAACATCAGAGGTCCTCTCATTCATCGATTCGCTTTAGTTTGGAGCTCTTGATTTGACTCGATTGGAATCATCCCATTTTCTGACTACAGGCAAACATTAACAGCTGCATTTTTCCCTTTCCCCCCCTTCTTCCTCAGGCTTTACATAAAAACAACATTACCATGGTTGCGTTTTACAAATAATGATCAATGAAAGCAAACATAAAACAACAAAACTGTCAGCCCAGGCTTGTTTGAGCTTTAGTTTGATGACATCTATGGTTGCTATTGCCATAAGTCATTCATAAAACTTCCACTTCTTGTCCTTTGCGAAACCTGTTGTTGATGTGTTTGATTGGTTGTTTGTTTTTGAGTGTCATACCCTCTTAAGTTGTTGCTGTTTGATGAGGAAACGAGGGCATGTTGGAGTGCGGTGTGAGTGGAAAGGCCCTCTTATAAGCAGCATGTAGAGAAGAATGGTTTCCCAGCAGGCCCCCTGGGTGCCACAGGGGGTATCAAGCTCAGCCAATGGACCGGTGGCGGACTCCTTTGTTGTTCTCCTGGGCGTCAGGGTCCCGACACGCACAGTCTTCTCGAATGTCACATGACATAGGGAATGGAATCACCTGGCACAGACAAAATATCAAAGGGGGTTGAGTCCAAGAGCTTGAAGTGATGATCATATTCACCATAATATAGCAGTGTTACGACGGCAGAAAAGGTTTCAACGTGTTTTATTAATTGCATTTCAGAGATTCTGATCCAAGGGATAGTTCACCAAAAAATGAGCAATTTTCCATCATTTACTCAACCTCATGCTTGTATGACTTCTTCTGTGGAACATAAAAGACGACATACTGAAGAATGTTGGGGTCCAAACTACATTGGACACTGGGGAAAAACAAACAAACAAACAAACAAACACTGAAATTTTTTTAAAGACATCTTTTTTGTGTTCCACAAGTCAGATTAATTTTAAATGGTGAGGGTAAGTAAATGACAACAGAATTTCTATTTTTGTGTGAACTATTAAGTTATTAAGAAAGAGCAATTAAAAAAAAAAACAATCTCAGATCTTCTATTCTCTATTTGTCAGCAAATATTATATAAATTGCAAATTGTCAGTTGCTTTGGAAAAATGCATCTGCTAAACTGAAATATGTCTATAAATTCCACAAAGAAACAGCAAGCAATAATGAATTAAATACAATATTTTGAAGGAGAAAGACTGAAATAGTGTTTTCTTGAAAAACCTACTCCTGTCACGTTTTAAGCAGATGAAGATAAAGATGATAACAAAAAGTCAATTTTTTAAATTAAATTCCAACAACAAATATGATGTAGATAAGCCAAAGGCATGAGACAGAGCGCGATGCACAAACAATACCGGACAAATTAAAAGTGAACAAAGAGGAACTTAAATACACAGTGATAGAAAACTAAAGGGTGAACAGGTGTGCTGATTGATGAGTGTCCAAGGTAACTGATAGCTGGCGGGAAAACTAGAACAAAGGAGACAGGAAAGTGATGAGAAACAAACTAAAAGTCTATGGTAATGAAACTAAAAGAACATAACTGTTACAACACAAATCTTTTCTTTCTTTCTTTTTTAAATTTACAAGCTCAATTTCTTTTAATAGTGCAAATGAATAAATGTAAATGTCAGCAGTTCAAAGAATGAAAAAAAAGGGAAACAAACTATAACAAAAGTCCTTACACTTGACCTTGGTTGATACTGTGGTGAGATGTAATCTATCAAACATCAGTCAAAACTATTCTTACACTTCTGACAAATTAGATACTGAAAGCTGAATGCGTGTGTGGGTTTAATGAGGTCGCTGACCAAAGCACAGCATGCTCTCATTTTATAAATAACATTATTATCCTGTTATTTCGTTCGAACTGTTCTACCAATTGGGGAAAGGAGGATGCGGAACACTGGAGCTGGAACACAAACAAAAAAGTTTTTAATTCACTGTTTGTCATTGAAAACAACTGCATATATCCACAAGTACCCACAGAATGGAAAACATTTTTGAGAATGAGATCCACACCTGCACTTCTATTTTACATGAGCAACTAACAACGCAACATGCTCATCTCAGCTTGTTTTTACTTTTGATGTCAAACAGAAAGCGACATCTTTTCAGTCCCTGTGAAAATGGCTGCAATATAACAAAGAGTGAAAAATTTAAGGGGGTCTGAATACTTTCCGTACCCACTGTATGTGTGCACTGTCAGATCAGTGCAAGGCGCACTTGGATCCCTGTGAGTGCAGAGTGAAAAAAAGAGGGAACGCAAGAGCGTATATGTGTACAGAGGAACAAGGGATCTCTTGTGTTCGGAGCGTTGAGGGAAGGAATGCCCTCTCCTTGCCCTGTGAAATACACAGGCTTTTCCTTTTGGTGTCCCCATCCACTGTAGGGGATTTTCCCAACTGTAAATCTAGTCCATTCATAGTGCCCACAAACTCTGGCTGACAACATTCCCTCCATTGCCACACTCCTCATTACAACCGACCAACACTTCTCCAGTTGTTAAGTGTGCGTGTGTATCTGTGTCTTCAAAATGTTTTCATTGCCCTCAGCCATCCCTGAATTGTTTCCAGGGAAAACAAACAAAACACTGCAAAACAAAAATCTTTCGTGAAAAAATACTGTTCCTTTTTTCTTTAAGTTTCAACAACAACAGTACAGCTCAAAGACAAAAGTGAACATTTCATCAAAACTGAGTTGTAACTGAGTTTTCAAAAATGTTGATGCTAAGAACCTTATTGCTATTGTAGTGAACTAAAACTTAAACCATGAAAAGAAAGAAAGAAAGAATAATAATAAAATAAACATTAACTGAATTTAAATATAAAAAAAAAAAAACATTTACAAATCTTATTGCCAAAGCAACAATTCTCATTTTCATCAAGTTTAAATGAAATAAAACTGAAACAAAATTAATAAAAACTATACAAACTATACAGAAAATGATATGAAAATAAAAATATACAAATTAAAACTAATAAAAAACTATTATAGTTCATCAATGATAATAAAAACGCTGCAAAGAAAAAAGGAGCTCATTTAAAGGCATAATTATACGATGAGTGATGAATATTCAGCACAATATTACAGAGAAAACATGTTTTGTTTTGCAAAAACTTACATATTGTTATTGTACCAAAGCCAAAAGGAGTGATTAAAATAATAACATTCATTATTATTTTATGACATTTTAACTTAATTTTACTTTATATTTGTTTTACACTGTTTTCACATTATAGATTTTACACTATTTGTTACTTCTAAAATGGAAATATTAAGCTAGAATAATATTAAGTCCAACTATCTGTAGCAAACAGTGCAGGATGAGTTATCCACTCAAGGTATTAGAGTATGAATTTGTCCAGCTACCATTAATACGCTGTTTGCTTCCAAATAAACGACTTCTAAACTGATGTTAGGTGATGCCAATGCAAGCAAACTTACTTTTAATGTTCAGTTCATGCCCCTGTGACCATGACATCTGGATAGTATAAATATCAGCATTTCTCGAGAGTCAGACAAACTGTGACATAAGCTTGAAAGAAGTGAAGTTGAGAAGTCTGCAGGAAGCTTTTGACAGTAAGCTGAGCTGTCAGTGCTCTTTTCCTTCAGCAAACCTTGCAACCGCTGAATGTTCTCACAACATCTGACCTTTTCTGTGTTGATGTCATTGGGACAGTGGTAGAGGAACTGAGATTCCTCCAGTAGCCTCAGTATTAAATAAAAGAAGATTTGAACAATTGCCTACAACAATGTAATGAAGCTCATTCAAAAATAACTTGATATTGTTTGTTTTTGTCACGTAAAAAGAAGTTTAGTGGTTTTCGACTGGTTTTGCTTCAAAATTCAAATTTTACAAGGAACATCAAGTGCCAGCCCAACACAGTTTGAGACAGAAACAGAAAATGTCCTCTAAAATATACTCATATACAGCTGCACATTGTCTTTATACTGTAGTTTGACTGTTTGGTTTGTAAATGTCTCTTGAAATTTGACTATAGCCTATAATTCAATGCACAAACAAAGCATTTTTAGTGAGTTAATGTACTCTGCATTTGGGTTGGATGCACCAGTTGAGATCCTAAAACTGACCTACAACAATTTTCCCAAAATCACATTTCCATACGACTCCTCTGTGCTCTCTACACAATGTAAGGCAATGTAGTTTCATATATAGGGTGCAATTCCACGTTTCATAACCTAAGGATTTATATTGGGGCACATTTTAGATCTGCGTTCAACAGAAATCTGGAGGCCTTTGGTAGAAAATTGTTTAGCGGCACCACTAAACATCAACTGGAAGCAAATTTAGTTCTCCCGTCATTACCTCACCTCTAAAATGGAAGACCTCATCATTACAAGGCATGGATTCAAATTCTGGTCATCCTCAAGTCCAACAAACTAATAGGATGCTTTGTGTCAATGTTGCTTTTCTGTCTGCTCGTAGCACGTCAGAGGCCCCGGTTAGTTTTTCCTAATTGCTCTGTGGGGCTTGTGAGGGCAGTTATTCGCTATTGATGGTGCATTTGGGAGGAAGAGACCTTGGCTGACAAGTGCTCTGACAAATACAAGCAAAGTATACTGTGAGTTATTGGAACACTGGATTGAAGAACACGCAGTCCTTCCAAAGAAACAATGAAAACATCCCACCAAAGATCCCAAAGACCACTGAAAACGACACACAGATCCAGTGGAAGCCACCTAATTCTGTGTTTACTAAATCCAATACACCAACCAAATCAAATGGGGAAGGAATCGAAACATCGTTTCAGTGCTGTTTGTTATAACCTGATATGACCCTGACCTACAGTAAGTGTCCTCTATTAGGTCATTGAGGAAGATGATACCTTTGCGGCTCCCACACATAATAAAATCAAAATACAGGTATCTGCCAAAGAAGAAACAAGTCATAAGAATATGACAACTTTAGCACACAATAAACATGCCATAAACAAGCATATGTTTATTGGGAGGTTCAGATATTATCTCTAAAAATGCTACTGACAAGTCATACCTTGGCAATTATAACTGCCATTTTCGTTATAATTGATATAATCAATTATATCGTTATAATCCAGCCCCCGCCTCGGCCTCTACGGCTGGAGCCATAGTACCATTGAGTCCTCTACGTGTAAACGAGACCGGACAGTGAGGGTGTCTGAGGTGTGTGCTTTTATGCAGGCTGGTAATGAGGTGCTTGATTGGTGACAGGTGCAGGTGCTCAGAACTCAGGTGATGGTGGTTGCGGTGATTGGGAGGTGACCGAGTCTGGCCGATCCGTGACACCCTCATTGCCAAATTAAGAATATCAGTGCGAACTCTTATTAGTTTTTTCAAGGGAAACGTCAACATGTTTTCGTTTATGTAACGCTCAAGATCATTGTAGTGTGGATAGTAATTAGTTCACAGTGCCGTATTGAATGTATTGTAGAAATGTTAGGAACAGTTCTGTTTACTTAGAGTAATCACTTTCAAATGAGTCCTTTCTCTTTTCAGTTAACTGTGAGAAGTGTTTGCCTCAATTCTGATTTGAAATCGCTACAGTTGAAACTTTATTGCATAGTCTAATGGTTTCTTAAAAAAAGTCAGATAAAAATGCTTGCAATGTCACAAATCATTCCTGTACACATAAAAAATAATAATTGGTACCATTTCATTAGTACATTTTACTGAAAATCATGCTCTTCACAGAAATCTCTAAAAAGCTTGTCTGAGGTCGAGAACGCAGCCAAGAGAGGTGGAGCTCAGCACAGGGTCAACTGTGGACGCAATAGCCATTACATAATGAAAGCATTTACATGATTACTCCCTAGAACTCCTTAAAATGACATGACAAAGATGAAAATTAAGCATTTATTGGCTTTTCTAAATACAAAAATTACACTGGGCAGACGCACTTACCCTGTGGCGGAGCAATTTACTCAATTATTTGCTTTTGGCAGCAACCTTTCAGAATTCCTACAAGAATACTGTCAAATTTCTTTTGTTCTAAACTTACAAAGAAAGTCAAACTCCTTGTTTACAGCCACTTATTAGCACAATTCAGGCCTGACAATGAATCGGTCAGCAGCTCAGCTTCTGAGAGGAGGAGGATGTGCAGTTAGTTTTATTATTTGCTTGGGTAATCCTCTGGCGTGACAAAGCAAACGGCCCCCTGAGTTTATACGTTTCTATATGATTTACAGCCGTATTTAAATGTTAAGAGTCCAGCTCCAACTGCCATTTCTAGACCTTTCACAACAAGTTGTGTACTCTGCCGGGAAATGCGTCATCACACATGCCAACTTTTTTTGTTTTGGCACCACACGCGGGTAGAGCGATCCAGTGTGCTTCCAGAGTTCGCTGTTGCAACTTTGGAGAAGTTACTTCATTCTTTGTCTGTCAAAAGAGAAGTTCACTTTCTCTGGCAGCCAGGAAAACTTGCTCAAGGAAAAAGCAAGGGAGGATCAAGTGAGAGGATGACAAGTCCACTGGAAAAAGAACAGTACACAAGCGTGCAGAAAAAGCCTTTCTAGGGCTATTTACCACCCTCGGGATTAAACTCACGGATCTTTCTCTTTGTTGGAAAGTGAGGTGAACGTCCATATGGAAATGCTATATGCAACCGTTTGTTGCCATGGCTTTGGAAAAACACCCAAACATATATGTGCGTGCTTCATCTACAGTGTCTACAATGCATTGTGGGTAGGGTTCAGAGAGTTTCCCCCGCTTCTGTGGGTGTCCTTAAAAGTTTCCTCTCCAAGGAGATAATTATTACAATGTAAGACGTATTACCCTGTCTGAATCTGTAGTAACAATGCAGATTATACAGCATTTTACTCTGCTTATTTACCAGTTATTGAAGTGTAATCGACTAATTAAACATCTAAAGAATAAAAAAAAAAAACATACCTTTTTGGTTTTAACAGTAGAATGGCAGCAGTCTCCACCATCGTAGTTGCAGAACGCTCGGTTGTTGATGGCGTCGCAGTAATTATCACCCATGAACGGCTGGTGAAAAACAGATAAAACGGCTCTGTAATATGAAATTACTGAATATATAAACACACAAACAACATCAGCAATATAACGCTATAGAAATGAACTCTTCTTGTGGTTCTTCTTGCGGTTCATTGTCAAATAATAATGAGTTCCCCCATAAACTCCATCAATACATTCATGTAAAACCAGAAAGCAAGAAATAAAGAGACAGCCACTCATACTTGCATGCATCCACAACTGTGTAAAAATAGACACACAGACTTGAGTCTGTTGCAATTATGTTGCCCTGGAAAAATTGAGTTAGTATTCCCGGGCTTGTGGATGGTGGAGGCCGCTTTTAATGGGGAAACCAAATCCCTATTAAACTTATATGTGTCTCCCTTGGGAGTTACTACACATTTCCATCTTGACAGGCACAAAAGGTTGCCCAACACACCTGTGACCTTTTCCAGTTTGAAATCATCTCTCTGGCCCAACCCAAAAGCTTTCAGAGGGCTGCTAATTACCACCCAATGAAACTGGGTCAGGATGAGCTGGGTTCAAAAGTCTGCAGCTCTGGCCCGAATAAAAAATGGACTGGTCATCTTTCTGCCACAGCAAGACTTGTTATAAATGAGAGAGAGGTGCAGATTAATCGCACTTTCAGAACAGCAGCGCAGAAGAGTCACATGTGCTTTGAAGAAATGATGTTTCTTCAAAGAGCAATATACAGTACATGTCAAAATGTCAGTTCAGTCTTTGCAGTGGCAAATGATTTTTCAACAGCTCTTTCTGCAAGAAGACACAGTAGCTGTTTTTTTTATTCTCACTCGGTGATTTGAGGAAGATGGGAACATGATACCCTCTAAATGAGGTTTCCAGGTTCGTCTATAACGCAAAAAGAAAACAAACCGCCCTTATAAACAAAGGTGGTAACAAATCCCACTTGTCTGCTGTTGTTGGCCCTGTTAAACCTGACTCAGATTAGGCTAGACTGGCCCGAAGAGCAAAGGAGAGGAAGACACTAAGCACAGCATGTTTATTTATGTATTAGACTTCAAAGAGTGTGAGAAGATGGCAGAAACAACTGTTCAAGGTCAGGCTACAGAGAACAGACCTCCATGACTGCATAGAGCTTAAAGCTATGGCTGGGAGATTACCTTGAAACAACTATCAGCGGAATAATGTTGTTATCATGCAGACTTACAGTGGGAGTTCAGATATGGTGAACAGAAAATTAACTGAATCATTTCAAATGATTTAAAACAAAAAATAAATCAAATGAAGTTAAGTAATAGATGAATATGAATGAAATAATAAAAATGAATAAAATAAATGATTTTCAAAACATAAATAGCAGAAAAATAAATGAATAAAAATTACTGTAATAAAAATAAATTAAAAAAAATTATTTAAAGTAAATGAACAATAAAATGTAATTATATAA